CCATGGGGACTGCTTTCTACTCTAAGGGAAAAACAAGAAGAAAGCACAAATTAAAGGGACAGAAAGTAGTGGGAACGCATTTCACATGGATTTCCTACAGGCCAAGGGGAGAGAGAAGGGACTCTCATGTTTTCTTTTTAAATGTATTTTTAAAAATGTTTATTTACTTTTGAAGGAGAGGGAGACAGAGCACGAGTGGGGTAGGGGTAGAGAGAGGGAGACAGAATCCAAAATAGGCTCCAGGCTCTGAGCTGTCAGCACTGAGCCTGATGCAGGGCTCAAGCTCATGAACAGTGAGATCATGACCTGAGCCAAAGTCAGACACTTAACCAACTGAGCCACCCAGGTGCGCCGGGACTCTCATGTTTTCTAACTGGTGGTAACACTTGCTTTATTCTGTGTGGGTTTCTTGACATCAAATTCTTTCAAAGAAAGTTTCAATGAATAAATTTCTTTTATTGAAAAATTCAAGGTGTTTTCTCAAGGGAGAAAATTTCCTTAGAATATAAGAGATTAAACTTTTGGCAACAGAAAGGGAGTTATAATCATCAATATGTCGTAGATTATCAGCTGCTAGTTCCTCTTTCCATACCACAGAAATGCTTGGGGGCCTTAATGTCACATCTAAATCTTTTTTTCTTTTTTTTGCACCCTTACCTATAAAATGAGGGCACCGGAATAGATATTAATAAAAATAGTAACTAAGACATATGGAATGCTGACTCCTTCCTGGAGATGGATTCAAGTTAATGATGACAGCAGTAACAACAAATATAATAATATAAGCAGAGTACATAGTGGAAGACACTGTTCAATTCATTTTACATACATTAACTTACTAATCTGCCAACAACCCCACAAGGTAGTCCATAATAAACCCACCTTTACAAAAAACTGGGGTTCAGAAACTGAGTTAATTTCCCCAGGCCACAAAGAAGGTGGAGGAGTCTAGATGCAAAGCTGTGCTGTATGGCTCTAAAGTTTATGCCTCTCACAACTCATCTCCTTCTCAAAACAACACCCATTGAAAGATGAGGACATTGAAGTATGAGGAGATTAAATATCTTGTCCAAAGTCACAGTTAATACATGGTGGTGTTATGATTTCACCAGAGGCATTCTGCTCCAAAACCTAGGAGTCTTAACCATCATGTTCTGCCACTTCTGATGAAACTGCGTAGGCCCCTCTCAGCTCCATACTTCTATGATTCTTTTTCTGAGTACTGATTATATCTAGTAAGACCTGGGCTTTGCTATTGATATATACTGTGTTTTACAAAATGTTTGAGATGTAAAGTGTTATTTACATTCTTAAGATAAGATAAATCACCAAATTCAAAAGTTTAAGATTTTGTTAGGAAAATCTTTTCTCTGTAGAATTAGCAAGAGTACAAGTGAAGGAAACTGGAGATCAATCCATTACTTCTGCAGTGTTTTAGGGGTTCATGCATTCTTATGAAACCCTTACGATATTATGATATTTATAGCACATTTTAGAAAATTTGAAGCATTGTCTCATAGGAACCCCACTTAAGACCGCTAATTGCAACTCGACTGTTTTAAACCAATGGCAGTTAATATTTTAGTGCAAGAAGTTCAGTAGTGCAATAACTGGGGGAAAAAACCAAAATCAATAGTATTTCAGCTCTCTCTGGGAGTTAATCTATTAGGGAAGAAGAGAAAATGCAATGGAGATTTTAGGAACAAGGGTACGTGAAGGTTTGTTCATTTTTCAGTCTCCTGGCAAAGTTACCTATACGCGTTCTTTCCTCTAACACTAACTTGTATCTTCTGATTGGCTAGAAAAAGGGTATACAACCAACACACTCTTATTCACGTATGTCAGGGCTGTACTTCCTGCTAAGGTGTGTCAAGAGGCTCCTATGTTCTGCCAAAATAGACATGGCAGGTGCACTTATTTAAAAAATATTTTTTAAATGTTTTTTATTTATTTCTGAGAGAGAGAGAGAGAGAGAGAGAAAGACAGAGAGAGGGAGAGAGCGTGAGCAGGAGAGGGTCAGAGAGAGGAAGATACAGAATCTGAAGCAGGCTCCAGGCTCTAAGCTAGCTGTCAGCACAGAGCCCGACGCAGGGCTCGAACCCACAAAGAGATCATGACCTGAGCCTAAGTTCGATGCTCAACCGACTGAGCCACCCAGGTGCCCCATGGCAGGTTCATTTAGAAGGAAAGGATTGGTAAACTGTATTCAACTACTGTATGGCCCCCACATCCTTCATGATGACAAATAGCTACCCTTGTAGGGGGTAGTGTAGATAAAGAGAATTAGCACACTAATTTTCTCAGCCTTAGCTCTGTCTGGCATCCAACACTCTAACTCAAAGAGGTTTTTGGCTGGTACACATTTTGCCTTTTACACCCTCAGGATAAAGTCATTTGGAAAGCTTCCCATCTTCACAGTATATGCCCTTTTCCACAACTTACCTCATCATCCTTCTTGGCTGTGTTTGCTAGTGAGAGGTCTACACATGTCCTCATCATTTTAAGAAGTATAAAACCAAGACACAGATTTTTCAGGGAGAACTGACTCCAAAAGAGTGAGATCACCAATAATAAGCAAGGGCAGTGAATCCAGGGAGTGCAAGGCCACCAATATGTGTGAACTTATTAATTGTAATTATTTTTTTTCTAAGAAAAGGATTTCCTTAGTCAAACCTCCAGGGCATCAGATCAAAGGGAGATACTGCCACAGCTGGACTATATTTTCCAGCCAATTGGCCTAGAAAGGAGAATCTAGACAGTGTCCTGGCAACTGTTTAACACAGCAGCAATCCATAAAAGAGAGGGAAAGAATTCTTTAGACCAGCTTTTTAAAAAGGTCTTTCTTTACTTCTTTACTTAAAGGACAGTTAGAGAGTAATGTCAAAGCCCTAGGGGATGTAGGCACTCTATAAGAACCACTGACTCTGGGAATTCAGAGTATCCTTCTACAGATAGAAACAAAAAGTTTTAGTTCACAGTACAATTTTTTTAGAGACATATATTTATAATTAATTATCATAAAAAGGATATCCAAACCTACTGGCAGAATATTTGATCAATTTTCTATTTTTAGTTTGATGTAAGTCACTATGAACCTTACCAGGACACTGTTAAATCACACTAGATAAGGTAGTTTATTAATAAAATCACAAAAGGAGAAATTTATTTGTATGCCCTGGAAGTTCTCCCAAAAATGTACAAAAAGAAATTATAAAGGTGACTATTAACACACAAGAAAAAAAAGCCACAAAACCCAACCCCACTATGTCAGAAGCAGAGCAATACACACAGGAGTCATGTGAAAATGAGAACACAGAAAGCACACCAAACAATTTCATGAATTACAAAAAAACAAGATGTGAGAATGATTGTGTAAAAAAAAAAAAATGAAAGCAAACAAACAAAACATTTCTATAGTTAAGGAAAGGTGTTTCTCACCGTTCTGAACAAAATGGCTGAACTAAGAGCATCTGATTGGCTATGCCCATATACCCTCCTCCTCATCCTAGGGGAGAGAGTTGACAAAGGGAACAATGCCCCAGAGCAGCATGGGAATGAAAAAGAGTTGGTTAGTATTTAAAACAAAGACATAAGCATAATGTAGTAGAAGAAAATGGTCTCTAATTTCTTGACTCTTTTTATATTAGATTCTAATTCCCTAAATTCCCTAACCTATCCGAATTAGTAATTAGTTTGTCATTATACTTCTACTCTTCCTACCTTTCCAGGATACTGTCTCTATTCAAGGGCTAGATCTGACCAAAATTATCAGGTTGAAGGCTTTTCTTTATTTTTGCCTTTTCTTCAAACTTACCCCATTTCTGTTTGCCTCTCACTACTCCCAGGCATCCAATTCCTTGTATTTACACATTATCAAAACCTGTTTCAAAGAAAGGATCTAATACTCATCTTATATACACGGGCATAAATTTAATTCTGGGTATCAAGCACATGCAGAGATAGCAAGAGGATTTCTTGGCAAAGAAAGACTGCTGACCTCAGGCAGACAGTTCTTCATTCTGCCTACATTAAGAGTGGTATTGCTTTCCCTTTAAAATATAAGGCTTGCCTCAACTGGTTTAGTAAATGTCATCAAACTATGACTATACCTTCTGAATCTTAGAAAAAATTGCAATTTGGATATTATTGCTGCTTTCATCTGCAATATTTCTTGTTCTAAGACAATGCCATGGCTATCATTCAGTGGAGATGTTTAGTGGGGGAGTTTCCCTTGACTCTTTAGTCATATGGATGTAATTACTTAACTATAATTTTTTTTTTTCCTTCAGCTATACATTTTAAGATTGAGTGTGATGGAGATGTTGAAATCTGATTTTTGGCAATGGGATATGAGGTAATCTGTTCACCAGTCTCCCCCATCCATCATTTTCAGGATCTTGGGAGAGTTTAGTTCTTCCAAAAGACTGGAGTTGAATATGGTTCCCTTCAGACTCATCAATGCCTCTTTTGCATTGATGCGAAGGTTGAAGGCAATGATTTTCCTTAAGAATGACAAATACTGGAGGGATCAACCAAGGATATGGGAGAGAAGAAATTTTTACTCTTTATAATAGGTGATAATCAGAGATTTTAAAATGTGCAATTAAACAATAGTTATCTCTAAACAGTTGTGCCTTATTGAACTCACAAGAGTCTTGTTTTTTTTTTATAAGGCGTTGTTTTAATAAGAAAATTAGGACATTTACAAATTAGTATATTATCTCCAAAATTAATTTTTTTCTCAACCCAATTCAAGGATTTTTTTTAATAGTCCTTAAATCTTCTGAGTATCTCCTCTTAAAATATTCAGAATCAACCACCACTGCCTTCCTATACAAAAACTGAATCTGTGTTTAAAAACATGAGGGAAGGAGATATCAGAAACTGATGATTTATCTTTATTTTTCTAACTTACACTCCGTAATTTGTAACATGCTGGTATAAAATACAAGAAAATAAAAGCACATTTGTTTTTATAAAACATTCAAGAGCAATCTTACCTGGTCTGGGGAGGGTTTGTGATTGGTTTGATTGGAACGGGAGGACATGAAGCGGTCATCCTCATAGTTGTCTGCCATTAGCTTCATTCGATTTTGTGTCTAAGAGGAAATGATTCATGAAGTTGAAATGAGATAAAAATTTCTATTATACACTGAAAAGTAACAAGTGCCTTAAGAATGTCATAAGAAACAGGGGCGCCTGGGTGGCTTAGTCGGTTAAGTGTCTGACTTTCGCTCAGGTCATCATCTCGCAGTTTGTGACTTTGAGCCCTGCCATCAGGCTCTGTGCTGACAGCTCAGAGCCCTGAGCCTGCTTCGGATTCTGTGTGAGTGTGTCTTTCTGCTTCTCCCCTGATCATGCTCTCTCTCTAAGATAAGTAAACACTAATAAAAAAAAAAAAAAAGAATGTCATAAGCAACAATAAAACTAATTTTGTCTGAAATAAAATTAACATCAGATTTCTGAAGATATCAGGGAAAGAAAATTTAGGCACTGCACTGAACTGAATTGTGCACTGCTCCTCTGTCCCCATTCATGTTGAACTCCTAACCCTTCATGTAACTATATCTGGCTAGAGTCTTTAGGAGGTACTTAAGGTTAAATGAGACTATAAGAGTGGGGCCCTAATCTGATAGGACTGTGGCCTTTTTTTTTTTTTTTTTAAATTTTTTTTTTTTTATTTCTAGGAGAGAGATAGAGAGACAGCGTGAGCAGGGGAGGGTCAGAGAGAGAGGGATTCACAGACTGAAACAGGCTCCAGGCTCTGAGCTGACAGTCAGCACAGAGCCCCGACGCGGGGCTCGAACCCACGAACCGCGAGATCATGACCCAAGCGAAAGTCGGACACTTAACCGACTAAGCCACCCAGGCGCCCCAGGACTGTGGCCTTTTAAGAAGAGGAAGAGATCTTTCTCATTGTCATTTTCATTCATCTCCAAGCCCCCTCTCTCTCTACCATGGGAGAAGACAATATGAAGTTGGGTTCTGCAAGCCTGGAAGAGAGCTCTTACCAGGAAATGAATTACCTGGCACCTTGATCTTGGATTTCCCAGACTCCAAAATTGTGAGAAAACAAATTTCTGTAGCTTAAGCCATCTAGTCTATGGTATTTTGTTATGGCAGCCCAAGCAAACTACGACAGGCACCAAAATTAGTACAGAGATTTCAGAGGGAAAGAATAATCCCTCCAAATTAAGCCTTCTATTCAGTGCTTGCTTTAATTTTTAAAATGAAGACTGTAATGGTGTGCCAGCCTGGCTCGGTCAGTGAAGCATAGAACTCTTGACTTCAGATTCTTGAATTCATGCCCCACATGGGAGCAGAGCCAACTTAAAAAAAGGTTTTAAAAAAATAAAATAAAATAAAGATTGGATTATATGCTATATCTAGAATAGGAGTCTGTTAACTCTATTTTTTCACTTCATGATCCATATTTCCATGTTACTACAAAAACTACTCATTTTTAAAGCAACTTTTCAATTTGGGGGAATAAGTAAGTGAATTGATGATATATCTAGAAAATCTAAGAGGATCAAGTGAAAAACTATTAAAACATATGATAAAGTTCAGTGAGATGATCACACAGAAGCTATATATATAAAATTCGATAGCTTTTCTTTACACTATCAATAAACATTCAGGTTTTCAAAATAAATCACATCTCTTGACCAGACAGTTCTATAGGGCCTCAGCTCTGGTGGAGTTGGTATCAGGTTTTAGTTCATAAGCAGACCAGAGTATACTTGGCTAAAACTTGCCACATTCAGGCCAGGGACCAAACATTGCTCACAGCAGGCAAGGAGAACCTCTGCAGATGACTGCCCTGAAGACAGATTGGTCAAAACACAAGAACAGAGTGCATGTAGCACATATCAGAAACATTCCTTGAAATGCTAGACCTGGGGCACTATATGACCCCTTCTTCATAAGGACAACAGTTTCAGGAGCAGGAGAGACAACTGGATTTTCTAACACAGAGAAGGCAGAGACTCAGACAAAAATGCCATGATGGAGAAATTTATCCCAAATGAAAGAACAAGAAAGATATGGTCACAGCAAGAGATCTAAGCAAAAACAGATGTAAGTAACAGTGCTGATGGAGAATTTAAAGCAACAATCATAAGGATACCCACGGGGCTTGAGAATAGAATCGAAGACATCAGTGAGACCCTTATCACAGAGATAAAAGAGTTAAGAAAGAATCAATCAGAGATGAAGAATGCCATAAATGAGATTGGAAATAGGCTTGATTCAAGCAGGCTGGAAGAAGCAGAGGAATGAATTAGTGACCTAGAAAAAATAATGGAAAATAAAGAAGCTGAACAAAAGAGAAAAATAATTATAAAACATGAGAATAGACACAGGGAACCAGTGACTCCATCAAACATAGTAACATTCATATTATAAGAGTCCCAGAAGAAGAAGAAAAGGGGGTCAGAAATGATAGCAGGAAACTTCCCTCATCTGGGGGAAGAAAACAGATATCCATATCAAGGAGCAACAGAGAACTCCCAACAAAATCAACAAAACAGGGCAATACCAAGACATATTGTAATTAAATTTGTAAAATATAGTGGTAAAGAAAAAAAATCTTAAAAGCAGCAAGACAAAAGAAGTCCCTAACTTACAAAGGAAAACTCAAAGGCTAGCTGGACATTTCTCCACAGAAACTTGGCAAGGGACTAACATGATTTATTCAAAGTGCTGGATGGGAAAAATCTTCAGTCAGGAACCCTATATCCAGCAAAGCTATCATTTAGAAGAGGAGAGAGAAAGAGTTTTCCAGACAAACAAAAACTAAAGTTGAGGGGTGCCTGGGTGGCTCAGTCATTTGGGCATCTGACTTTGGCTCAGGTTATGATCTCATGGTTTGTGGGTTTGAGCCCCACGTCGGGCTCTGTGCTGACAGCTAGCTCAGAGCCTGGAGCCTGCTTCATATTCTGTGTCTCCCTCTCTCTCTTACCCTCCCCTGCTCACACTGTCTCTCTCTCTCTCTCTCAGAAATAAATAAAAACATTAAAAATATTAAAAATAACAACAAAAAAACTAAAGTTGAGTGCAAAGGAGAGACCAGAAGTGACAAAGACAAGGAAAGATCCGAGAAAATCTCCAGAAATAATGACAGAGGAGGTAATAAAATGGCAATAAATACATATCTATCGATAATTACCTTGAATGTAAATGGACTAAACACTCCAATCAAAAGACATAGGGTGTCAGAACGGTTAAAAAAACAAGACCCATCTGTATGCTGCCTACAAGAGACTCATTTTAGACCTAAAGGCACCTGCAGATTGAAAGTGATGGGGTACAGGAACATGTATCACGCAAAAGGATATCAAAAGAAAGCTGGTGTAGCAAATCTTATACTGAACATACTAGACGTTTTTATTCTTGTACTGCTTTTATCCTCCTTTGGTATCAGGGTGATGCTGGCCTCATAGAGTGATTTTGAATGTGTTTCCCCCCCTTTTATTGGTAAGATTTTGATAAAGATTGTCCTTATTTTATTATTTTTTTGTGATACAGTGTGTGTGTGTGTGTGTGTGTGAGAGAGAGAGAGAGAGAGAGAGAGAGAGAGAGAGACCTGAACTGAAATCAAGAGTTGAACACTTGACTGAGCCACCCAGATTGTGATTATTTTTTATTTTTTACTTACTCATTTTTTATAGTTTATTCATTTTTTTTGAGACAGAGACAGAGAAAGAGAGAGAGGCAGAGAGAAAAGGAGGGTGTCAGCACAGAGCCAAACTCGGGGCTCAAACTCATGAACTGTGAGATCACGATTTGAGCCGAAACCATGAGTCGGATGCCTACCCATGTGAGTCTCCCAGGCACCTCTGTCATTATTTTTTTAAGTTTATTTATTTTGAGGAGGGGGGAGGAGAGAGAGAGAGAGAGAGAGAGAATCTCAAACAGGCTCCACACTGTCAGTGATGAGACCCATGTGGAGCTTGAACTTTGCGATCTATGAGATCATGACTGGAGCTGAAATCGAGTCAGATGCTTAACTGACTAAGCCACCCAGTGGCCCCAGTTTCTAAAAAATTTTTAAATGTTTGGTAGAATTCATCAATGAAGCCATGTATGCTTGGGCTTTTTTGTGCTGGGAGATTTTTGATTTCCTAATTCAACTTTCATTCTTTCATGTTATTGGTCTAAGAAGATTTCCTATTTCTTGGAGTCAAGATTCATGATTCATTCTTAGTAACTTGTGTGTTTTTAGGAATTACGTTTTTCTTAAGTTATCTGATTTGTTAGTATATAACTGTTTACAGTAATCTATTTTCGCACTATGTATTTCTGTAGTTAGCTGTTGTATTATTTTGTCTTCCATTTCTCTCTCTTTTTTTTTTTTACAAATAGTTTATTGTCAACTTGGTTTCCATTTAACACCCAGTGCTCATCCCCACAAGTGCCCTCCTCCATTCCCATCTCCCCCTGCCCCCCCAACACCCATCAGTCCTCAGTTTGTTCTCAGCATCATTTTGGTTTTTGAGTCTTCTCTTTTTTCCCCTTAACTAATGAAGTTAAAGCATTGCCAATTTTGTTTATTTTTTAAAAAAAACCTGGTCATTACTTTCAATGTTATGTTATTATTTATTCTGGTCTCATTTGATCTTATTTTTTCTTTGTTATTTCTTCCCTTTCTAAATTTCAGCTCAGTTTCTTCCTTTTCTAGTTCCTTGTGGTGTAGTGTTAGTTGTTTATCTGAACTTAAGAAAAATATTAAAAAAATTTTTTTAACGTTTTATTTTTTGAGAGAGCATGAGCAGGGGAGGGGCAGAGAGAGACACACACAGAATACGAAGCAGGCTCCAGGTTCTAAACTGTCAGCACAGAGCCCAACATGGGGCTCAAACCCACAAATGTGAGATCATGACCTAAGCCAAAGTTGGATGCTTATCTAACTGAGCCACCAGGTGTCCCACTGAACTTTTAAAAACAGAAATAACAACATAAAAATCAGGTTCTTTGAAATTAATAATAGATAAGTGTTCAGCAAAACATGTCAAGAATGAAAGACATAAACCTATAATAGAAGGAACCCAAATAGGAGGACATTACTATAGACAAAGGTTTTAAAAATCATCAAATA